CTCCCTATTTTATTCCATTGGTTTATTTAACCTATCCCTGAACCAATATCATGTACTTATAATTACAGACCTTTATAAGAAGTTCTCTCCTTTTGTTCATCAGAAAGGTCTTGGTAATTTTTGGCCTTTATGCCCACATTTCAGAATCAGATATTAGGATTTTGATTGGCATTGCTAGAATCTATGAATGAATTTGGGGGAAATTGTCCTTTTTACAATATTGAAGCCTTCTCTCCAGAAACATAGCATGTTTTAGGTTATTTATTTAGGTCTTCTCTAATTATCTTCAGTAACATTCATAATGTTCTCCATAAAGTTCTTGCTCATTTTTATCCTACGTACCTTAATTTTGTTTTTTTTTTGTTCTAAATATAAGCAGTCCTTTAAAAATTAAATGAACTATATCTTGATTTTGTAAATGGGGAATTTAAATCATACTCTTAAATTTATGGAAAAAAGTGGAGAGAACATAATTTGGATTATTCTGAATTTGTTCCTATATGTTGGAGACCTCTCATATATGCATATAAACAGTAAAATATCATAGCTTTCTGAATATTTTACTAGAATTATTAACATTTCACTTATTCTTGAAACATACAAAATGGGAAATTGTATGTTTCATGTACAAAAAAAAGGAACAAGATATATATGAACATTCTTAAAACTAATGAATGAAAAGCTGATCCAGAATGCCAGCCTGCATTTTTCAGCTTGGGATCACTGTCTTATGCAATACTGTATAAAAGCTTTTTCTTCTTCCTCTTGTTCTTTTACTTTTTAAAAAACACACTAAAGATTCACATCACAATTCAGTGTTCATTTTCCTCTGGAGACTCTTACTGAATTAATGTCTCTGCCTAGACGTTACAGAGTTTATTTATTTATTTATTTTTGTAGGAATAAAATAGTCTGGCTCAGGATATCAAGTTGGGAAATCAGTTCAGCAAGTGCCACATTACAATGGATTTGATTAAATCCAGTATACTCAGGGGGGAATTTTATCTGTTATTTCTTACCTAGCTTTTTTTTCCTAACCACTTTGGTTTTTCAATAGAGTGAACTATTTAAGCATTTACAAAAGGAGAAATCTTCCAGGCTACTAGACGCTGAAACTCTCCCCCGTTCTCTGGTGGATTTCACTCTAGATTGCCATGATAGCCATTTGGATTCTATACTTTAAATACCAGGCTGTCTAAGCGTTCCCAAATCGTTTGTGTTCATTCTTAGCCATTCTCAATCACCAAGACCTATTTAAAAGTTTTCATTGCTTAACAAGGAAGCCAGGAGACACTTAATTTTCATCCTTCAACTCTTTTAAATAGACAATAACATTAAAAGTCAAAAGGATTTAATATTTAAATTAATATTCAACATATGTGAATGTATCATGTTTTTTTTTTCTAAGCAATAGTATTTTATCTATTTGCCAAAGGATGGCATTTATCTGTTATTTTTGTGGTTTACGGTTCTTTCTTCATGCTTCTAGGTTTTCCTACCCTACATTTTTTTTCTTATACTTAAATTGAAGATCTTCTCTTGAACATATTTGAATTTTGTTCGCACAGTACCTAATCCGTTACTGGTTTATAAAATTTCCCCTGTATTCAGATTAGCAATAAATGTTCTTAATGCTTCTATAAATGCCATCATAGGAACTGATTTGGATCTGTAGGGTCAGAGAGAAAGATTTATTCACTTCCAATCACTTTAATTAGCATCAGTCACTGTCTCTAGTTAGTGTCATCCTTCATTAAGGATAGTTATAACAGTTATGTTAGAATCCTTACCTGTCAGTTTCAACATCTGATTTGGCTTGGGGTCAGACTTCAAAGAATGTGATACATTTTCTTGATTTTCATATGTGAGATAATTTCGGATAGTATTCTGGACTTTATTATGAGTGTTAAATTGTGGAGAGTCTGAATTCTACTATTTTTCTCTGATGAGTGTTATTTCCTTTCTATAAATATTAGTAGGTACTTTTCTTGGTAGGATTTGAACTGCAAACTCTCTTCCTTGGGGTGACAGTCATTGAGGGGCTGAGATTCTATTTTGGGTGGTTCAAGATCTGTCAGAGATGTGGATTGACAGAGTTTGGGGATCCACTCTTTAACTCCTTCCTTGGGATTTCCTAATCTCTTTAGCATTCAAAGTTTTCTGGCTTCACTTTTCTGGTTTCCCAGATAAGAAAAATTGATAGGTTTTCTACGTGCACGCCTGCTGCTGCAAAGCCTGCCTCTGGGACTGCACTTAGCCCCAAGCTAAATAACAAGGAGAGGGGAACTGTCTTGTAGAATTCCTCATCTGCACTTCTCGAAGCAAGCTTGCCCTTCCTACCAGTCTGCTGTTCATATTCCAGTATATTCAGGTAGTTGCTTTTTGTATTACGTCCAAGTTTTATAGTTGTTTTCTGCTGGAGTACAGTCCAGTAGGGTCTTAGTCTACCATATTTGGAAGTAGAAATTCTGTCCTGCCTGGTACTTTGAATTTTAAGAGTCATTTCTTGCTCTGGTTAATGCAATAGCCTCCATAACCTCCTAACCAGTCCCTGCTTGCACCCCCCATCTCCCCCGCCTTCCCATCTATTCTCAACACATTAATCAGAGAGATTCTATTAAAACATAACAGGAGCTTCAGTGGCTCCCCATTTCAGTCACGGTAAATGTAAAAATGTTTAAAATGACCTGCTCTGCCTGTCTGAAACTCCTCGTCCTTGGCTTCCAGGTCACATGCTTTTCTAGTCTGTATTCTACCTCTCTGAAAATTCGTTGAACTCGTATTTCCTCTAATCTTTAAAGTTGGGTCCACTCTAAAAATGTGGTTCTTCTTTAGACTTCTATGACAGGGCATTGAATGAGGCTTTTCCTGTGCCAGGACCCCAGTGCTGAAGGCAGTGAGGACTTAAGCATTCCCCACTTTCTCAGATGAGCTACCAGCAGCACTGGCTTAAGGAGGGTGAAGGGCTCCCGGGCTCAGGCTACTCTAGAACATCTTTCACGCGAGAATCTGCCCAGATTTGAATAAGCGCAGCGCGAAACTAGAGAGCGTTCGCGCAGATTCTCCCCTTGTTAGAGGTAAGAGAGGATCCAACTTTCCTCCCAATTCCCGAGCCCCTGCAGGCGGCCAGGAAGCGGAACCCAGGCGCGCGCGCCCCTGCTTCTGGCCGGGCGCGGGTCCTGGTGCACCACGGGCGCGCCGCACCGGCCAGCATGGAGGAAGGCGGCGATTCCGAGGCGACCCCTGGTTGCAGCGGCCTGGGCCCGGGCGGCGTTCGCAGTAGCGGCGGCGTTCACACGTGGGCCCCTGAGGACGCCTGGATGGGCTCCCACCCTAAGGTCAGGAGGCGTTAGGGGAGCAGCGCGTTGGTCGCGGCCCCTACCAGAGGCCGAACTCCTGGGCTGTGCTCCCCCTTTCTGCCTGCGGGATAGCTGAGGATGCGCGCCACCCTTAGCGCGGGGGACCTGTGTGCACTTCTGCCGGCCGAAGAAGGCAGTATCATTTTTGCTTGTTTAAACGAGTCGAACTGTCGCTCTGACACCTTCCCCAGCACCCCCACCAAAGCCATTCTTAAACTGAGGGCGAGACGTTGAATCCCGCCTCTCTCAAACCAGAGATCCCTAGTAAGCACTTCACTGATAGTTGAGTTTTGCTCTCTAGATAGAGCTCGTTTCGGGGATGAATTCATTTAATCTTCACAGTAATGCAAGGCAGTTTGTGGGCCATAGATAAGATCGGGGCGTCCATAGTGATAAAGGTTTAGGGACAGTTATGTTACACTTACCCTTGTACCCAGAGTGTGCATCTTGATTTTGCACAGGTACAGATCCCTAATTTTTCAGATTTCTTGGAAAATTTGAATAGGTTCTTGCCCAAAGCAAAGCTACTCACATTGTGAGTGTAGTTTTCTATACTAGCAGCAAGAGAGAGAGAAAGATAGTCTCTTAGCCTGTTTCTGTTTGGGAAATCGCTGCTTTGTACCAGTAATGGCCCAAGCAGTGAATGGAGATGTGGGTTTTTCAGGAATCTCAGGGACTGGTCTAGTACTTCACTAGAATTTCACTCTTCTGCTTGAGAGCAATAATTCATAGATAATCATCTAATAACAGTCAAGAAAAGGAAAATTTTGAAGGTATAAGTCTAAAAAGAGTTAACCCTATTGCATCTTCTCTTGCTTGATTTTATCCTCCTGCCCTGTTCCCTTTGTCCTTTCCAAAAGGTGAGAAAAACAATAGCATAAAAATGTTATTTAGTGCCATAAAAAGAAAAACAATAAGATGGAGATGGGAGCACAGTGGTTAAGACCATGAACTCAAAGTCAGACTCCCTGAGTTTGAATCCTGGTTCTGTCACTTACTGGTTCTGACCTGGTTCTGTCAGCTTTGTGATTTGGGGCAGGTTGCTTGGTCTCATTATGCCTCAGTTTCGCTATCTAAAAAATGGTGATATTAGTAGTACATACTTACCTCATAGGGTTATTTCAGGATTAAATCAGTTAATATTTGTAAGGCATTTGACATGAAATGTACATAGAAAGCCACTATATATTTATTTAATAAGTGAAACACCAGTAACACATTTTTAAAATTTCATGTAGACTTGGTGTTGCTATTCAGGCAGCTTACATACTTGCAGATTTTTTCCTCTCTGAAGCTAATGGCTGTATAAAATCTGACCATCAAATCTTCCCTTTTGAGTTTTCTTCTTGAAGGAGCTAACTGATTTAAACAAAAAGAAGAAGAAAAGAAATAATAGTGGATGTTTGTTTTTCCAGTTCCCACTTTTTGTGATTCAATTTGAAAATTACTTCGGTTCATTCAGTAAAATGGTATCAGATTTACCATCCTCAAACCGCACTTTTATTATTCTCCTGCTTGGAAATCCTCAGTGTTTCCTTATGGACAAAATTCAAACTTTTAGCTTGGCCACCAAGACCTTGCAACCCGGCCTGAAATTACATTTTCATTGTCATTTTCAAACCCATTTGAGATTTGAGGTGAATAGCTATTAATAATAACACTCCTGTTCTCCTGCACCTGTACACTTAAAATGAAGCCGACAGGAGAATGTGACTTCAGATCTGCCCCTGTGTGGGTCTGCTCATACCTCACCTCTGCATTAGCCCTGCTTATCCACCT